TGCCTGTTTGGGGGGGGGGGGGAACTGCTCTGGATTTTCGGTAAGGATACACACTGACTTCCAACTTTCTAGGTCTTGTTTTGGGCTCTTAACAGCTCTTAAGAAGCAGGAGGCACCCAAGTGGCATCCGTTTTTGAGCCTTTCCCAGGGCCAAAAACCGGCAGAGGTTGGAGAGGAGGGTGAAAATGGGCGTTTGATTTCTCCTCTTGGCTCAAGCGCTTTTTTGGGTGGGTTTGAAAGTCAGGGGAGGGTCCTCTGACGAACGAAGAGGACGGCGAGGTCTGATCGCTGAGTCTCTTAAAGGGAGAACTTGGCCAGCGCCGGGAATGCTGTTTATACCAGAGAGAGGAATCTTAAAAAGCGATTTCTTTGCATGGGAGTTATTTTTAAAAATATACCACCCCGGTTAAAAAAAGGATGGTCGCCGGCCACATTCTTTCTGCCCGCTTTAGCAGTATACACAAAATACAACAACACAGCGTAAGAGCGGTCAAGTACATTCATGATCCATTGGCTTTAGGGTTCTTATTTCTATGTATTTTTTTAACAACTCTCGATTCCGCAGCTTCAGAAGCCAACTGATGGGAAAAATCGGCCACGTATGGGGCAATGAGGGTCTCTCCTTCATCCTATTTCTCTTCTTTTGCTGACCAGAAGCCGCTGTGGAAGCCCTGAGGAAAGCCGGGGTCTTCACGGACATGCTGACCATCCTGAGTAACTTTGCTCATAACAAGAATATCAGCCTGGCCTGCTGTGGGGTCATCTGGAGTCTGGTTGCAAACGGTACTTAAAAAGAACGCCAACACCTAGGTTGGCTTCTGCTACTGGGGAAAATACGGTTTAAGGAGAGTCATCCTCTTGGATCTGGGTTTTTCAATTGTATACTTGCCACATTCTGCCTTTCCTGCTCCCCAAACAATGAGAATCCTATGTTCAACTCAGGCACCGACGTGGCCGAATACCCGCTAAAATACGCCATCGAAGTGGTCTCCATCATCCTCCACACGCACCTCGATGACGGAGAAACCGCCGAGTCAGCGTGCAGCGCTTTCTGGGCCCTCTCTCTTCACGGTGAGTTCCCAGCTCTGCTCTCACGATAGCGCACGCGGGCGGGTAAAATGCCGTTTCCCCAGATGCTGGCGAGCCGCCTTTCCCCCCGCCTTCTTCGCAGCCCAAAGCTGCTATTTAGGAGTCGTTCACGAGTAAAAACCACAATGGCCTTCGTTTCTCTGCGTCTTCCTTTTGATATTCTCCAGGCTGCATAGACGAAGCTCATTACGAACCCTACGCCTTACTTCTGTTGGAGGCGCTCCGGCGACACCCGGCAAGACCCGTGCTGGCCAAGAACGCTTGCTTGGCTCTGGCGAGCCTTTTGCGGACCTCCGGTAAACCCCTTCCCATCCTAAGAAACGGGGCTGTCTGGCCAAAATTAAAAATCGAAAGGACCGGGGCCTATGAAAAGCTAGCGCGTTGTTTCAACGTAAGCCTTTGTCCCTGCCAATCCACTTCTTTGGCTGATGTGCCTCGGGACGCAGTCTTGAATCCCATGAAAATCCACACGGCCAGTCTTTAATAAGGGGCCAAAATACAGTGGTGCCCTGCATGATGATGATAATCCGTCCCGGGAAAATCGCTGTTTCATGCGAAAACCCTTTCCCCATTAGAATGTATTGAAACCCAGTTTAATGCATTCCAATGGGGAAGATACCTCGTCATCCAGCAAAGACCGTCCATAGGAAAGCCATTTTGCGAGCGCCGTTCAGCTGTAAAAATGGCTGCCTTGCAAAGCATGGGTCCAGAAAACATAGGGCGGCCATTCTGTGAAGCCGAAAAATTGTTGCCTTGCGAACAAATGATTTGCGAAGCATGGACCTAATCAATGTCCAGC